GAGAAGTTTTCCTGTTGCCATTGTAACATATGTTAAAATTGTGTGAACAAACACAAATTGAATATTATTTCTTTATGAATCTTAGAAATTAATGAAAGAGAGACAATTATTGGAAAATAAGAAAACGAAATATCATTTTATTATATTGTTTTTTTCGAATGAATATGAATAAAAGAATTACTTTAGTTAGATGTCAGTGATTTAGTATATTCGGCAACTGGATATCGTTGTTTGACTTTTGTCTATATAAAAAACTAAAATGATGTTTATTCTTGTTTGATTCACATTATTAGCATGTTAGTCGTATACATAATGAGACAAAAAACACACAGACGATATCCTTGGTTTTCTTCGTTCTTCTCAACAAGAGAAAAAAGCTTCGTTTTGAAAGAATTGAAATATACAACGTATGAGAAAAGATATCAATAAAATGAAATTTATGCCATGTTTCACATGAAACGTAAATGCAAATGGTAAAAAGTAATCACACCACAAATGACGTTGATGGGTTTTTCCCTTTAATTCATTTTTTGGCAAGCATACCTTTGATTGGTACTAGGCATAGGTTGTTATCGAGTATTGACGGAAAAATGAAATATTAACATTTCACGTCGTAGAAAAATCTAGAAAAAAAACAAAATGCATCGAATATATAAATACGAAAGGTAAATTCTGTTCATACACATTATGCACTAATACATTGAAAATGAATCGACAACGACGACAACGTATGACTGAAAACTATTTAGTCATATGGATTGATGCGAATATCGATATGAAAAATGAAGATTGTCAACATACACTGTCGCAATTACGAGGTATTGTTAATGAAGTCAAATTGTGCATTACAGCAGAAGAATGCATCAGAATACTCAATGAAAACAAGGAGGAGACATCTTTCGTTATCTCCTCTGATAAACTTGGACAAGTTCTTGTACCAACTATTCATGAAATGCAAAATCTTGATACTATATATATTTTTTCTCAAAATAAGGAACTTCATGAAGAATGGGCTAAGTATTGGACAAAAATTAAAGGTATCAACGAATCAATCGAGTCTATATGCAAAATGTTGCAAATAGCTATCAAACAATATAATCAAAACAATATAATGGTCAGTATAATTAGTGTTGATGCAGATGGTTCTAGGCAAAATCTTAATCAGCTAGAACCGTCATTCATGTATACCCAGATATTTAAGGAAATACTCCTTGATATGGAACATGATCAACAAGCTATCAAGGATTTGGTCGCCTTCTGCCAAGAACAATACCAAGACAATACTAACGAACTCAAGTTAATCGATGAATTTCAACGTACTTATCATCCAACATTGGCGTTATGGTGGTATACACGCCAATGTTTCGCCTTCAAAATGCTCAATCGTGCATTACGAACACTTGACGGTGACCTAATCATTAGAATGGGATTTTATCTATGTGATGTTCATCGACAAATTGAAGATTTACACAGCAAACAGGTCAGTCAATATCATGGGGAGTCCTTTTTAGTTTATAGGGGCCAAGGCTTATCGACAGACGATTTCGAGAAACTCGCAAAAAACAAAGGTGGTCTCATATCGTTTAATAATTTTTTATCCACCAGTACAGATCGTGATGTCTCCTTCGCTTTTGCCGAAAGCACCTTAGGAGCAACCGATATGGTCGGTATTCTCTTTCAAATGACTATCGATCCCACGGTGTCATCAACACCCTTTGCCTCCATCAAGGATGTTAGTGATTTCGCTCAAGAAGAGGAAATTCTCTTCTCTATGCACACCGTCTTTCGAATTGGTGAAGTTCGAAAACTTGACAAGGAAAGTCCACTTTATGAAGTGGACCTCAAACTTACGTCTGGCGATGACCAACAACTTCGTCAATTAACCGACCGTATACGACAAGAAACATCGGGTAGCACTGGATGGTATCGAATGGGTAAATTGCTGCTCAAAATAAGTCAATTTGACAAGGCCGAAGAATTGTACATGGCACTACTAGAACAGGCTTCTAACGACAGTGATAAAGCACATATCTATCACGAGTTAGGTATTGTGAAATGGCAACAGGGTCAATATGAAAAACAGATAAAGTTTTACGAAAAAGCCCTCGAAATCAACCGAAAAGTTCTTCTGGAAGATCATTCAACATTGTCTACTTACTATAACAACATTGGGTTTGCGTATAACAACATGGGAGACTATTCGAAAGCACTTGAATTTTACGAAAAATCACATCAAATTAAAGAAAAAGCTCTACCTCAGAATCATCCTGAATTGGCTACTTCCTACAACAACATCGGTCTAGCGTATAACAACATGGGTGACTACTCGAAAGCGCTTGAATTTTACGAAAAATCATGTAAAATCTACGAAAAAGCTCTGCCTCCGAATCATCCCAATTTGGCTTCTTCCTACGACAACATCGGTAGAGTGTATAAGAATATGGGTGACTACTCGAAAGCACTTGAATTTTACGAAAAAGCACATCAAATCTATGAAAAAGCTCTGCCTTCGAATCATCCCGATTTGGCTACTTCCTATAACAACATCGGTGGAGTGTATAACAACATGGGTGACTACTCGGAAGCACTTGAATTTTACGAAAAATCACATCAAATCTACGAAAAAGCTCTGCCTCCAAATCATCCCGATTTGGCTACTTCCTACAACAACAT